TATAACTTTTCAATAGCTGTCCCTTTTCTAAATAAACTTTTCGTCTACCTATGTGAGATTGACTCGTTAGTAAATTTTTACAAATTTTACAACGATATCCAGAGAGAATTCAGATAATCAGAAAATGAAATCTTGGACTCCGTATTCACGTCGTGCTATTTATATTAAAGAGTCCCTGTTAAAATTGGCGGATCCGGAAATCTGAAATCAGATTGCGCTAATTTTTTGTCAAGAAGATTGATGAAACGGAAAATATTTGAGTAGGGTCATAAATTGCCTCTGATTTTAATATACGAGGAATCTTGATAGTAAGGGATGGTATATGCAATTTAAAATATTAATTTTGAGAAAGCGTGTGTAGACTTTTTTGTTAATTAAAGTGTATAGACTTAGGGATATTATTTTCCAAAAATATATAAATGAAAAATTTAAGAGAAGACAAATTAAACAAATTATTTTTCATAATGATTATATTATATACATATATATATATATTATCATGGAAAATATATGATAGTATATGAGTATATATATAGTATTCTTCTTCTTAAGGTGCCGTGCATTTCTGCGTAGGCGTCCACCGTATATCGTCTTGTCAGATGATGTGGGTCTCACTACTACTGGGGTGCTCCGCTGTCACCACTGTACAACTAGCGGGAGGTTATAGAGGATAAGCATTAAGGATGCTTATCCCTGCGAGCGGCTGCAAGGCTACTGGTCCCACTAATCTGAAATGGCTGGCTCGCCTTGGTGGATTTACGAGAAGGTAGAGAAGTTTCGGGATAGGGATTTAAGGACTTCTAGGTCTCAGGTCCTGTAAAGAGTTTGAGTCTATGGGATTACTTTAGAAGCCGGATAAATGTATAAGCCGAAATTTAGTACTCTTCTGTCTCTGTCTGAATCGGCCGGAAGGAACATAAAAACCAAATTTAGAGTCTACAAATGTATTACAATTTATGTGGTTTACAATTAAGTTAACAAGCTGTCAGATATAATCAATAATAAACTGGTTCGGCGCGAAAGGAGACGAGAAGTGATCTTAGCAAGAAAGTAAAGGGATGACAATCTGTACTACTATAATTTACTCGGGTAACTATATAGAATTTTGTTACCTTTCGCATATTTAGGCTCTAGCTAATGATACGTCCTTCAGTTCCTCTGGAAATCGGATTTCTTTTATGGAGGTACCGTGCTCTGTCGCGATTATCGGACTCCCAGTACCCGACACTTATACGGAACTATATCCCGTCGAAATATAACAATCGCGCGTAATCCGCACCTGGTGTCGCCTCTCGTCTTGACAACCCTGCCCGAAGATACTGACTAACTTACTGGACGCTACCTCCGGCAATTACTGCCTGAGCGGGCAGTCACGGTGCCCCGCTATTACTGATCGCGTACTGGACGCTATCGCGTCCGAGCGCTCACTTAGCTGGCAATTAATGCCTTGAGCGCTCCCTCGATACGACTGCCTGGTTGACCAATTTTTTTAGTTTTTATGTCCCGCGAACATTCCTAGTTTATTTTGCTGATTCTGCTGTACTGTTTCACGTGTTGGAATATAACATGCGATGGTGTGTCGCTTCGTTGTATTAATTTTCACGAAGGTCTTCAGATTTCGTAATTCTTAAACATTCGGGCTTGTGTCAAACTAGGTCAAGTGTTATCTTTGTATAATTTAAATGTATTCAATACGTTACTGTATTGAATTTATTCTTTATTTAATTTGGAATATATAATAATTATTTTGAATAATTATTATCTTCTCATATGCTACTTAGACCTTATTTTTTCTATTCTATATTTTCTTGCTATGTTTACATTACAATGAGATGTTAATTAAATAATTCTGTTTTTAGCAGCATTGCGAAGCATTTCATAGCTGTGTATTCCTGTCCATTGTCGAATATTGCGCAGCCATGACATTTTTTTACGTCCCAGACCTCTCCTACCCTCTATCTTCCCTTCGAGTATCAGTTGCTGAAAAGTGTATCTTTCCCCTCGTAATATATGCCCCAAGTATGCAGTCTTCTTCATTTTTACATAACTAAAACGTTCCCTATCCTGTAAGCCCGCTCTTCTGAGTACTTCCTCCTTTCTGACCCTGTCCGTCCATGATATTCGAAGCATTCGACGCAGGCACCACATTTCAAACACTTCAAGTTTGTTAATGGAACTGGCCTTTAAAGTCCATGCTTCGATTCCGTACAAGAGAACAGGCCACACGTAACACTTAAGCATCTTGTATCGGAGGTTGAAGTCCAATTTAGTCCAAAGGAGGTTGAGGTCCAAAAAGGACGGAAGTGTATTATATTACTCCGGTAACAGCACATAGGACCCGCATCACAAAAATGGTGTAGGTGTATTAGTAACATCAGAACTGAGTAAATATGTGACCGATTTCGTGCCAGTCTCGGATAGAATAATATTACTCCAAATAAATACTCAACCATTTAAAACTAACATACTTCAGATCTATGCCCCGACTGCAGATAGAAAATGGGTGAAGTCGAGAAGTTGCATGATCAGATCCCAGACATCTTACAGAAACTTATACGAAAATAAACACGAAATTTTATATATTATAGGCGACTTCAATGCAAAATAAGGGAAAGTCGACGTAGGGTCCAGACTATAGGTCCTTATGGTCTAGGCCAACCTAACCTAACCTAACCTAACCTAACGATCGACAGAGATTGTATGAATTTTGTAAAGAAAACGATATGACCAGTGCAAACTCCTGGTATAAACTACCCAAGCGACGACTATACACTTGGAAAGCCCTATTTGATGATGGCAATAATCCTGAGTCTTCAAGAAATGAAATAGACCATATACTTGTAAATGAGCGTAAATCTGATCATCAACCACTTGTAGTAGATATTAAACTAAAGTTTAAAACGAATTCAGCGACAAAAACCAAAAACCAATGTACTTAACTTTGACCATATAAACATAAAACATAACATTAAACAAGAATTAAACAATAGAATAAAAACCATCTGAGAACAACTAGAAGATCCAGAAGAACTATGGAGTGAATTTAAACACCAAGTTAGCGAAATCTCCAAACAATGATTATAGAAAAAACTTAATCAAGAAAAATAAATGGATGACAGACAACATCTTGAAATTAATGGAAACGTCGACTGATAAAATCTAATGAAACAGAATATAGACACCTGCAGAGAAGAATAACAAAGGAGGTCAAATTAGCCAAAGAAAATGGATGAGAGAAAGGTGCGACGAAAGGGAAGATGTAATATCTAAAAACGACATATTTAATGTGCACAAAAAACTAAAAGAAGTAAGTAACATATTTAAAAAACGAGTTCCCTGTGTACTCATTGACAATAATAACAAAATTACTGTAAATCAGCAGGAAATAATAAAATGAATGGCAACTGTATACATATATCAGAGTTTTTAGAAGATGACAGGAATAATACTGCCGAATTCTACCAAAACTGTACTGACGGCCCAGAAATTAGGAAATGCGAGGTAGAACTCACTATAAATAATGCTAAAATTAGAAAAGCTTGTGGTCCACATGATACACCAACTGAGGTGCTAAAACTAATAGAGGATGATAACATAAAAGTAGTAGTAAGACTTTTAATTCAATATATAGCACCGGAGTGATTCCCACAGATTGGCTCAAATCCATCTTTGTCGCAATACATAAAAAACATAATGCGAGAAAATGGTCAGAATATCGATTAATTAGCCTAATGAACCACACTCTTAAAATTTTTCTAAGAATACTTCACAACAGAATTAGACGCAAAGGCGAAAGATGTTGAAGATACCCAATTTGGTTTTAGAAATGCTATGGGAACCAGGAAGGCACTTTTTGCGCTTAACATTCTATTACAAAAATGCAGTGACCAAAGAAAAGATGTATTTGCATGTTTCGTGGACTTCGAAAAGGTATTCGATAAAGTACAGCATGTAAAATTAATAAAAATACTGAAAAATATCGGAATAGATGACAAGGGTATTCGTGTCATTAAAAATTTGTACTGGAATTAAACTGCTATGTTCTACCATTTGCATCGGGATGTCAAAGCTTCAATTGTTTCCTTCAAAGTCTTTAAAGTCCATAATTTTATGCGCGGCAGTGTATTATGCGCCAATGATTCGCGAATAAAACGACAAACTATAAAAAATGATAAAACATATGAGCAGAAGTAATAGACAGTGTATATCATAAACGTCAAGTTCACTTAGGGTTTTATTATTTTATCATCTCAATTTAGTTACACAATAACCACAACTTAAGTTTCAGTTACTTATAATAGCACTCCAAATCATATCATTTACGCCACCTAACTATTCAATATTCTGGAAGACCTTTTCAATTGAATTTCCACCGAAATAAATAGCACACCCCAACTAACAGAAAAATAATGACTTTTCTGTTAAATAACCCCAATTTTCTTTCTTCCGAGAGTTAAAACCGAAAGTTTCTAAAGCTCTGTCACAATTCGTCGACAGTCACGAAAAGAATGAAAAATGAGTTGGGGTTAAAAGTTGCTTTCCGTAGAAAATATCTCTCGTGCATACTAAAACATGGATTTAATTTAATTTACGAGGACATTTATCAATCACAGGGTAGATTGCATTTTCCACGTGGCTTTTAAAAAGAAAGATTCGCATTCCTGGCGAGTGTCGTGGGTCCAAATTCCTGTTTCGTTCAATTCCATTCGAGTTCGTGTTTGGATGCAGTGTAAGAGTTTCACGTTACGCTGTTGTGAAAAGCTAACAAATGGTTGTGTTTAATTTGGGTCAAAACGTATAACAGCAATAAATATAGCTATGAAATAAATTTTTGATTTCTTGTTTTTGACAGTTTCACTATAAATGTAGTTTCTCGACAACGAACTTATTATAACAATAAAAACAAAAGATTTATAGATAAACTTTTATCATATTATTTATCCTGACTACAACAAAATATAAACAAAATTTTATTTATTTATTATTTATTCGACACAGTTCTACGATACTATGCAATCAAGTTGGCAATATTGAATATTTAGTTTGGAAATAACTTGAATAATCTCTTCGTTTGTAAAAATGATCCTATCTAAATTGGGAAAGTTTCGATTTAAATCCACTGAGTTGTTTTTTGTCCTTCCAATCAAATAATCCTGCCCACCAGTATCAGTTGCCAGTTGCCATCCATCAGGATTCATGCTCGACATCAGATGGATCCTCGTCGTTCTGATTAAGGACCTAATTTGTTTATTTCCCTTCATATACTCATCGCAGAGGAAATCTGCCAGCTTGAGCAGCAATTGCCTGCCCAAAACTTCGTTTCCGTGCATATTAGCGATGTAGTTGAACTCAGGTTTAAGAATTTCATGACGCCCTGTGTTAGTAGAGACTTCAATGAAGTAAAGTGGCAACCCCAACACGGATTTCTCGCTCAAAGTGTAGATCCTAGTGATATTCGGACATCTCGCGTTCACATCCTGCAAAACAGCCACGAAATAATCGTTGTTGTGATGTTTAAACTCAAACTGGAAACTGTGCTGACAGGAGAGCTAAAACCAGCACAAAACACCGCAACATACTCGACGAATCTCCAAACTAAAGTGTTTTTGATACTTTCGCAGCTTTTCCAAAGCTAGCGTAGCAGTTGTGCGATGAAGCTTTGACTATTATATGGATTTTCCGGGTTCTTACGCTGAAGAGGCATGGTTGCAGTTTTTTTCGACAGTGTCTGGTAAACAGGTTTCGGTTTTTATTAGAAAATAATTAGATTTTGCTATTCAAAGGTCGTACATTTTAAATTGTCAGATCAATTTTTGATCAAAGTTCAATCAATTTGAACTCAAAGATCAATTTTGAGTTCAAATACATCGCTAATATGCACGGAAACGAAGTTTTGGTCAGGGAATTGCTGCTCAAGCTGGCAGATTTCCTCTGCGATGAGTATATGAAGGGAAATAAACAAATTAGGTCCTTAATCAGAACGACGAGGATCCATCTGATGCCGAGCATGAATCCTGATGGATGGCAACTGGCAACTGATACTGGTGGGCAGGATTATTTGATTGGAAGGACAAACAACAACTCAGTGGATTTAAATAATCTCATCGTTGATCAATATTTTCTTTTATGCTACATGCTACAATTTTATCTGAATAGTCATTATCTTTTTTACAAAACAAACGTTGATATAACTCATAATTATTACACAATAGCCACTACACTAACTACCGATTCTCGATTTGAACTTTGCTACATACAGTACATAAAAGTAACAATCGCTTTAATCTAAACAATATTAGAAAAAAAAAATATTTTTCCTATAATTTTACAGTCAATGAAATGCTTGACATGGACCTTAAGTGGCCAAATTTTTCTTTCCATAAAGAATTTGTCAATAAATCTGCCAAATAATTTTCGAAGCAAATAATCAATACATATAGCGATGCTTTGAGTTTTGATGTAGAAGATGAGTTCATACAAACAAAAGTTATGATAAAATACTCGTGGTGGAAATGAAATCGGATCTGCATTACTGAAATGGGCAGATACCGTCATTCATTTACCGTTAACATTATTATGTGTTTCTTTTGGATACTCAACAAATATCCTCAAGTGAAAATCACCACTCAGAAGTTTATTCAATTCTTGTATGAGCCTCGGTAAAGATCAGTTCGATTTTCAACAATATCTTCAGGATTTGTTTTTTCGATAAATGAAAATCAGTAACCAAAATGTTTATGATAATAATAATCTAATAAAATAGAGTTGCCATATAACTATACTAGCAAAGTACACACAAGTACTCACAATCCAAAAATATTAATGTTTGATATGGTTATACTTTACTTACAAAAACAAACTACAAATTTTTATGCTATAACTATCAAAGTAAATCTTTGGTATAGACGTTCATCTTTCTTGGCGTGTGCGTGTAAAAACACTTGCAATAAGTTGTTTCATCTATCTTTCCTTGTCTAAGCTCGATTCGTTTACCTCCTCCAGTGGCAGCTATGTATCTGTATTCGTAAAGAGACCGAACTTATCACCGACACCGTATCGGCCAAACGCATCGGTGTTATTGCTACAATACTGGGAGACATGAGTGGTCTCTTCATTCCCTTCTCATCGCACTTTACCATGACGAACGTGACTCGCACAATTGAATTACGCATCTGTGTATCAGAGAGAGTACGAATATTAAAAATTCCGTAGTAGCTTATTTCAGGCACACGCCAAGAACGATGAAACCGAGTTTAAATATCTGTAACGATATTAATAAAAACAAAATTATATATTTTGAAATAGAACGGAAATTCCTATTAACGAAACTCACATTATATTAGAAAATACAACCAAACAACACAAATATTTTAATTAATATACAAATATAAAACAACTGTTTCTATTTCCCTTTTTTACCCAGTTTATACATTTTAAAGACAGGTTCTTTAACGAATAATCACAAAAAGCAGTAATTTTAGACGTCCAACTTTCAAAATATTCTTTGAACCAAATACTTACAATGAATCAAATACTTGGATTTGATTTAATTGGTTGACAACAAAACATATCGAAAGCATTATAGACGATATCAGTAACTAGTTGGTCAAGTAAGTAACCAATTACCTGCTGTAAATTGACTTATTTAACTGAAATAGGTGGAGATTTAAGGAATCATTATCGATCAGAAGTTTCTACTATAGGATTACACCCACATAAAAAAAAACATAAAATTGGAATTAAATAGAACTTAAAATTTCTATTTTAACGTCGTGGGACTGGCAGCAGTTAGTCAGACAAACCTCAATGAAATCATCATCATCAATTAGTCAATCGCGTCCACTGCTTGACATAGGCTCCCTCATAGGCCCACTTAAGCGTCGTGGTTCTTTCGATGACGTCTTGAAACTCCTGATCTTTGCCTGATTTGTTGATTTGTTATGTGGTCTCGAAGGCTCACGTTCAGCATTGCACGTTCCATGGCTCGATGTGTAACTTTGAGTTTATTCGCAGATTTTTGCGTGAGTGTTAAAGTCTCTGCTCCATAAGTTTGTACAGGCAAAACACACTGGTTATAAACCTTTCGCTTGAGACACATGGGAATTGAACTTTTTAGAATATGGATTTATTTGCCAAATGCTGCCCATGTTAGGTCTATTCGCCTCTGTATTTCATGTGTTTGATTGTCTCTGCTTATTTTGATTTCGTGTCCCAGATATTTGTAAGTGTCTGTTTGTTGTATGGTATTATTGTCAATAGTTATATTTCCACTCATTACGAGATTTGTTATAAGTTTAGTTTTCTCACAGTTTATCGTTAATCCTGTTCTTTCAGACAGACTTTTAAGCGAATGCATCATAGAAACTGTATCATGTACATAATACGGAACAAAAAGATTTTAAAAATTTAGGTCTTTGTATGATGTTAAAACATCTCAAAATCTGCCTTTGATTAAAAGAAAAGGAGACATTAACAAACAAGTTTTTCTGTCAAACTGTGTTTAACTGCAAGCAAAACAAAACAGCATGGGAGCTCTGTTTTTTGAAAAGTTATTTTCATGATGAAATCCAGGAGATTGACCTTGTTAGACTTTGATTGACTGGTTAATTTTATTAGAGGGATACAAGTAAAAGGGCAGCAAGGCTACGGGATATTTCCCCATGTTAAATCCCATAAGAAATCGCTAAGATGGCTTGTGAGGTATCGTCGGAAAGGAAATGAAAAATGGGGTTGAACGTAGTATATGCCGTGCGCATCGAAGCATGCCAAAAGGGCATTACGTCATATCTTCGTTTCTATTGGTCCGATCGTGACGTACGAGGGCTCGTTGGAACGGGAAGGGGACAACGAATACGTTAACATAAAAAACAAAGATGACGGCGTATAGCCAAAAGAACACTAAGCTTGAAACACCTAAATGACTCAACGTACAACAACGTGTAAGGTATCGATGGAAAAGGGAAGTGGTAACGAATAAGCAAAGACAAAAATCAAACGCAAAGACTTTGCCAAAACGGCACTATATCGTATCTCTGTTGTTATTAGTCAGATTACTACATGTAACACGTTAAAGAAAAGAGGAGTGGATATCGAATACGTTAACACAAAAAACAAAGACAAAGACATCGACAAAACGGTACTATATCGGATCTTTGTTGCTAGTGGACCTATTTTGACGTTTGAAGGGAAGTACTTCGTCTATTACAATTCATCATCTCGTCATACAAATCGCCACCTGTCTGCTACATCCTTTAACTATGCCCAAACCATCTAGCACATGTCATTATAAAAAGACACTCCTTCAGCCTATCACTTCTTTTCCCGCTTTCTCTCTCTCTCTCTCTCTCTCTCTGTCTTGAAAGAATGACACAATGTATGACAGCCGAGGTGACGCTGAAAATGATATAACGTACAACAACGTGTGAGGTCTTACTAGAAATAGAACATGATTAATCGAAGAACGTATACCATTCTTACAGTTTGACCAAACCAAGAAATATAAATATATATAATCTTCTCTGATTGAGTACTACTATACACGGATGTCCACTTAACGTGAATTACTATACAGCACTATTTTTCGGTATATGCGTATCATTTATATGACAATTATTAAATACAGATATATTGAGAGTTGCATACTATATTTAATCTACGGCAAGTCGTATAATATTATGTTTTTATTTTGGTATTCTACTTTTATAGTTAATCATTAGCTCTAATCGGTCTGTAAACGTAATATATAAGATCCTTCCCACTCCTGTAAAATACGTTTATAATATTTGATTGAATGAGTAAAGCACAATCAGTATCAATCATTCGACAAAGTAAGATGGCCATTAAAACGGTTAAAAAATACTTATTTGTTCTGAAGCTATTTTCTTGTGGCATTTTAAATTAATTACTATTTAACTGGGAATAAGCCACAATTAAAGATAAAAATACGTTTATTGACGTTTCAATTTCCACTTCGGAAATCGTTCTCAAAATACAAACAGTAAATTAAACAAACTTTGTTTTTTGTTACATAGTGAAAAATTCTTCTAATAATTTAATTTTATCTGACTCACTTATATTGACAATTCAGACATACATTATGCATTTTAAAGTAGACGACTTTAAAATGATATTGCCAATATTGTTGAGTTGCGCTCCTGGGACGACTTTACTTACCTATAAGATAGTTCATTCGATTACATGAAATCAACTTTAACTTGAGAATATCGCATCAACAAAATACAGACGTTAATAAACAGAACTTAAACGCTGGTATTCTGCATGCTCATACGGCTAATAAAATGCAAGAAATAATAAATTTAGGCCACACAGAAAATCATGAAGGAGATTGGCAACAGCAGCATAGAAGGAGGTACCGCAAGTTTATGGTTGGGAATAATGAAGAAACCAAGGATGTGCAGTCAGTACCTAAGTGTGTATCCCTTCATGTAACTAGGCTTGCACCAAATACGACCACAGA